AGGGGGGGGGGTGTGAAAAAGATTCGGGTTATTACTCTGCTGCTGTTCCATATCTAAGTCAGATCAATTGTTTGTTTCAGTAAGAGTTTTACGGTTCTGACAACGCACAACGGGCATAGATCTACACATAAACCTCAGAGAGTAGAAGTGTTGTAAGAGAGTAACGAACACAAAAAAAGAAGGATGAAAAGTAGCTGTTTTAATAAGTGTTTTGCGACACTTGCAACACAATTATGTCATATAAGAAGGCCTACTGAAGATTAGGGGTGTAACAAGAGAGTGAAAAACACAAAAAAGAAGGAGGATAGGTAAGATCAATAGATGTTTGCTAGGAAAGAAGGAGCAAACCACATCAGGGCACTGACCAACCACCCACATAGTAAGACAATATATTATGGAAAGATTAGAGATTGACACTGGATGATCCTACTACTTAAAAAAATATCCCTCTTGTTTTCTTTGTGCCTGCTCCCCTTCCCCTCACACACAGACAACTTAATATATTATCTTGTCATATTATCTTTGCCTAACATTTAAGATACAATAGTATGCGCTCGTGAACTCTAAGGTTATGTAAGCTTTAGAATATTGTCAGTGGCATATAGCCTAAACACAAAATGTTTGTAACCAGTTTAAAAAATATCAATCTTTAAAATTAAACATCAAACATATTTCAAAACAATGACACATGTAATTCACATTACTTTTAATTTTTTTTCTATGAGTTTCATAAACGTATCCTTGCTTTTACTACGTATTTTTAAATACCTCAACCATTTTTATTTGCAAAGTGAAACCAAGCGAAACTGTAAAACTAACTTGAATACACTCAAGGTATAATCTATGCATTCATAGGAACTTGCGCAGTTGCGAGTGCCTTTAATGGCACCAAACTGAAACGGAAACTCACCTCTGGAATGACGCAGCGGGGGTCAAGCTCCGAGACTGTAGGCCACACAATCTGTCTCTGGATCTCTTGTACCCGTTCAAAGTTTTTGATCCACCTCATCTTTTCCTCCAGTTGCTCTGAAAACAGTTAATTTATTTTGTAAAGTGTCAAATTAATTGTTATCGCTGTTGCTCAGAGAAATGGGCTATCGAGTCTCCTGCATTTAACAACAAAGCATGTAATGACTAGCTAATATGGTGAATTTCGCTCCTCCTTTACTATCAAACATCTATCACTCTTAAATCTCTCTTCCTTTGTTTGTCATTTTCTTGTAACACCTGCTGTAATCCTCAGCTCCTATATTATGACATAAGTCAAAGTGATGGAAAAATATCCCCAATCTTCATACGTCTGTAATTGTAATGTTTTAGCAGGTCTTTTATGGCACTTGCAACACAATTAGGTCATACAAAAGGCCATAAAACGTTTAATAAAACATATTACAATGACTCACTGAGCGATGCCTCCATCTTCTCGATGGCGTCGGTGACCTGCTGGCGTTCCTCGTGGTCCCCCGTGTACTTGCGCACGTTCTGCAGCAGCAAGGGAAGCTTGGTGCAGTGTTGCATGGGAGCAACCAGCAGGTCTGTCAGCTGTAGCCGGTTACACCGGGCGTCTTGTTCACACCACTGGGGTTCTATCCTTTGTTTCCACCTGCGTTTACATCGCATATTTTTAACTTTATTGTTTTCACTTTATACTTCGATCTCATTGTATGTGTGTGTGTGTGTGTGTGTGTGTGTGTGTGTGTGTGTGTGTGTGTGTTGTGCGTGCGTGATGTGAGTGTATGCGTGCATACTCTCGACTTGCCGGAAGCATCAGCAGCAGTGATGTCATGGAGAGTGAACCTGTCCAGAGCCAGCGGCTGTCTGAGCACCACGTAGGATGCCCGGTCAGTCTGACTGGACGACTGGAGGTCAGAGCTTGTCTGCTTCTGCTGAGGTGGTCAAGGGAAAAGCAGGCAAATTAATGCAGGTCTAGATCTAGATGTTTTATATCCCCATCGACCCAATTGAGATTATTTATGAGGTGGACTTCAGACCTTGCCTATCAAGGACAACCCAGGTGAAGAGGTATGCAACATCTCTCAGAAAGACCTAGAATCTAGATACTCGATATAATAAATTCCAATGTTCTCACCACTTGGGTATCGAATTCAGAATTGCATGAGACTGCCAAATGCTTAACTGTAACACCACAGACGCTGGTGGGTCTACATTACATGACCTGTTATTGTTTTATAGGGTATTACAACATTTTTTTGGAAGTTTATTTTAAAAGTGTTTTACGGCGCTCACAACTGCTTTAGGTCATATGAGCACGCAGGGACCCGTTAACCATATCCATAAGTCGTGTTTTACTATTGTATCCATACAACGTGGGGAGCTCTGTGCCACCACTTTCCAAAGAGGAAATTTACTCGTTAATCCGGTCTGTACGCTTTGCATAGCAGTCTGTCAAAATGTTTTTTGAGAAATACTGAGAGTTTCAAAGAGATATTCGACTAGAAGTATTCAAAAATGTGAAGAATACAACCCCGGGGTGCAAAATGACCCCAGGGCGTACGGATAGGGTTAAATATGTTCAGTTTGGTAGGAGTTAATTTTGAATTTTGTCTGCGTGGAGGCCGAAGCCTTCTCTTGTCGATTTTAGGACCACCAATGGGTCTTAAATGCGGGCAACTTGCACATGGGACCTCCAATACTTTTTTGCCCATATCCTAGAAGGCTAGCTGTTAGATCTTACCTACCCTATGATTAGAGGTGTGGCTGATAGAAAGCAGTAAGAAGGAGCCAAGGAGTTGCAGTAGAAAGGCTGCAGAAAGAGCCAGGAGCCCAGAGAAGGGGGTAAAAGGGGTGGGGGTAGGGGTGGGGGAAGAAAGAAGACAGGAAAGTAGACGACAGTTAGAAAGCAGAAATGGAAGTGAAAGGAGAAAATATTCTAAAAGAAAATTACCGTCATTGTCAAGTTTCGAAATCGAAACCTATAGAATGAAGGCGAGCACCGTACCTCTCGAGCACGGGAGCCCCTTAATAGGGCATGCTTTTGTTTTACGGTTTTAACATGGCACCAATTTAGGAAAACCTTAGAAAGTTTATGCTATCTCCAGACTTGTCTCCAACAATTATTACGTGACAAAGGAAGATGATGAATAGCAGTAACACTTAACAGGGGCATTTTCAAATGGCACAATGACATAGATCAAAGTTTTGTTCTTGTTGTTGCTCTTTGTGTATGTGTGTGTGTGTGTGTTTGTTTTTGTGTTTGTGTGTGTGAACTTTTGTGTGCACAAATGTGTACATGTGTGCGAACATGTGTGTGAACATGTATGTGTCTGTTTTTTTGTGTGGGCTTGTGTGTGTGTGTGTGTGTGTATGTGTGTGTGTTAATGTGTGCATGTGTGTGTGTATGTTATTCAAACTACATCTGCATCAATGTTTTTTGTTGTTTTGTAAATCAAACACTTTACTCTTAGCTAATATATATTTTTTTCAGAGCGTGCTCACCTTTCTGGGAATTTTCTTGACTTTGGTAATGAGCAAAATATCGTCAAATAAGAACAGGTGAACGTCAAGAGGTTTTGGGGTTTCTGCAATACAGACAGATACAAGGAATTTTAGCCTGTAATAGGTCATGAGCAGAGAGTTTAAGCACTGCTGTTCTCTCTCTCTCGACGACCGCTTAATTAAACCTGCCACCCCCACCAAAAACAAAAGCAAAACAAAGGATCCGACAAATACAAATCAGTTTTAAAAAATCAACAAAATAATATCAATCCCCTTATTTTCCAGTGTTCCATATAATCAATATGTAAATTGCAAACTCCCAGCCTATTCCACGGAAAAAAATATGTTTTTTTCTCCAGTCCAACAAACACAGGAAAACATATATTGTTATTTATGATTATACAACATCAACAATTATTAAAACTTAAAAGAAAAGCAATACAAAATTCCCCACAACATCTTTCGATCTGGTTTTCTATGTTTCTTTATTTGTTAGTTCCTTGCATTATCAAAATGTTTCACTTCATAATTTGCTATCAATTTTCAATTCATTTTAAACTTTAACCACAGTATTTCCTTCCTTGCTTTACACTTTAATCTAATTATTTTAAAATCTTTCCTTTACACTTTGATCTCATTGTTTAATTAATTCTTTCCTTTAAACTTTGATCTCATTGTTTAATTAATTCTTTCCTTTACACTTTGATTCCATTTCTTTATTCTTTACCTTATTCTTTCTTCATCTCATTGTTCTATCCTTTGTTTCCACCTGCGTTTACATCGCATATTTTTAACTTTATTGTTTTCACTTTATACTTCGATCTCATTGATTTGTTCGATCTCAACGTTTTATTTATAACTTCAAACTTTGATCTAATTGTTTTATTCTTTGATTTATTGGTCTTTTTCGGAAACTTTGATTGTTTAGGCTTGGGTTAACTCACCAACGAGCGTGAGCAGTCCTTCATGTAGCAACTGTCTCTTGGGGCAGGCCAGCAGGCGTTCACAGGGCTGTTTACTCACGGTGGCCTTCAGACTCTGGGAAAATTGAAGGCAAAAAACAACATTATAATAATAACAATAAAATAACAATGGTGTATTAATAATAAAGACGATAATAGAAACCAGAACAAAGATAATAATAAAAATAATTAATAATAATAATTATTATAAAAATAATGATAATAATAATAAAAGGGCCTAAAAAAATATAAATAATAATAATAATAACAGTAATTAAAATACCAATAATAATAGCTGGTCCATCTATGTCTGACGATGATGACCAATGCATTCATCCACAGAGGAGTATAATGTGTCAATCCAAGCAGACAACATTATTACTCTTTCATGGTACAGGGGAAACAATCGCTGATGAAAAAGATATCTGAAATCTCTTAGTTATTTAAACTGAAAAGTTGCAATAATTTGATGAAATAAGATGCAAGACAAGATAACTCATAGAAAAAAAACAACATTAAACAAGCTTTTTTAATCATGTGTTTTTCACGCCCCCATCAATATTATAATTTACATAATTTAGGAGACTGGCTTGCCAACCCACGCCAAATGGGATATAAAATGCCAGAAGAAAGACCAAGGTACTCGATAAAGATTTTCTCCCCACAGGATTTTCTGTGAGTAACTACGAAGTGGGTCACTGCCACACCATAAATGTCAGTTTGAACAAGCAGAAGCTGGATAGCTGAGATTAGATGAAGATAAAGATATCCAAAATAGGCTAGACGAGGTAAGAGAGCAAGGTTAAAACTTTGCAGGACAAGCAAAGGTAAGCCCTACGTGATAAAACATGGGGCAACAATTCAGGGGGGGGGG